CCGTAATAAATTGCGTAATACTCCGTAATAAATTGCATAATATTACGTAATAAATTGCGCAATATTATGTCCAGACCGTAATTCTTGTGCAATATTACGGGCCATAATATCTTACGTAAGATTACGTTTATATAATTTGCTAATATAGTAAGTCTTATAACAGAAAATTTTTTACAGAAATACAAAGTAGAAATTACAATATGGAATAATAAGTAAAGTTTATAACAAATTTTTTTATGTAGCTCATGATAGAAATCGTAAAAATTTCGATGCAAACTATCTTAATCTTAGCTACATACTATGTATTGCTAAGATAGAAAGCCGCAATATTTTTTATGATGATTTCAATGCAAATTAACTCAACCAAGTGCCAGTTAAAATCCCGACAAAAAAATTCCAATAGTAAAAATCTCAACAATCCCAACAACAAAAAATTATTAAGTTTATTAGAGTACTTAAGTTAGGATTAGTGTTGTCACACGAAACCAGGAACATAAATTTATGAATTTACTCAATTAAATAATTTTGGTATGGTACAAAATTATCTAAAATATCAAAACTAGTTATTTATATAATATTTTATAAAATTTGCAATTTTTAGAAAAATCACAATTTCAAATACAATGCTATATTAACGATTGGCTAGATATGATTAATTAGCTGATAAGTTATATCTAAGAGCTATCTAGGAATTATCTAAAATCTATGAACTATTAAGACTAACTCTTCTCTTTATACGTAGCGATCCTTTTTATAGAATTATCTAGAACTATTGATTACTACAGATGAGGTAAGAACTATGATTATTTACAAAGAATGTGGTAATTGATACTAAACATTTATTAAATATAATCATAAAAAGAGTAATCAAAGCTGGGTAACCATACGATTATAAAGAGAGTAATCGGAGCTGGGTAACCATACGATCATTGAAATGCAATCATCAATTTACGGTATCATCAGAATCCACGTGGTATTAGTCAAATTAAGATTGGTTAACGGATTAACATCTAAAATATCCGATTAAGTTATCAAGATAATTTAAAAGAGAATATAATATATATGAGCAACGGCAAGAAAATACTAGATTCAATCATATGAAACTTATATAATTGAAGTCTCATTCTTCCTTGGCATCATTCATAAGAGTGATGCCAAGGGAAAAGGGAACATTCGTTTTTATTGATTATTTATCTGATAATCAATAACACATCAGGCTTTCAATTACGATAAACTAACCTCTGAAATCCTTGAAATTATCATCTTAGTGAAAGCCTGATATATTGTCAATCATCAGATAAATAATCAAGGTTCCTTTTTCCCTTGGCATCCCTTATATGAAATCAATAATCCAACAAGGAAATTAGAAACTTTATTCTAAGTATCAATGTATTTGACAGTCTCATAAGTGCATAAATACAGAATCGCATGACAAGTTATGAATAAACGATCTCCCAATCAAATGCTAGAGATTGTTCACATCACTTAACCTGCCAGCAAACCATATACTTCGTTATACTCTGTTCCTGGTATATAAAATATAACACATTATGGGATATCTATGGATAGACGTATTCAGGGAATAGTTATTCCGAGAAGTTGTGGCTGTGAAATGAGGCATGTTAGAACCCCAATTTGGAATAACCAAAGTCACGAGATGTAATGTGAAGCCAAGTCTGATAAAGATACTACAAGAACTCGTGGTGATACCAGATTGGCTGGTGAAATTCCAGTACAATAGAAAGGTGATTCAACCTCTTCAGAGTGTCGTACAGGTGGTCAGATCTAGGCCCAATGAGGGAACCGAAGAATATTGAGCAATGGAATTCCAAGTGGATACATAGTACCCGTATGGGGTTATAGAGGTCCTGTGACCCTAAGTAGCGTGCGTACTAGGGTCATCTATATAATAGTTGGAACCAAAGTCACGGCGAGACTTGCCGAAGAATTAAAAAAAATATATATATATATATAACACATTATAATTAAATACAAAAAGAATAAAAACTAAATGATACTGGAATTTGTCAAAGAACTACCTGATGGCTTTCTATACATTTGATATAGATATTGAGACTAATTCTTATTAGAAATTCATATTAGCAAAAAATTTTGGCCCAGTCGACCAGCCCAAGCTTTTTTAAAATCGATCCTGGCCCATGATTTTTTCATCGACCTGTATTACTAAACAGAATTATAGTAGATTTAGAGATCTTAAAGCTAGATAATTAATCGAATCATTTCATTAGAATGATTCAATATTTTTACCAAGAGTAAATATTTTAAATATGGTATTTTATATTTTGGCCCGTTACATATACACTAATAAGATATAAAGTTTGTAAAAATAAGCTTACCAATACCGCCAATATCACCAATACCACTAATATCACCAATACACCAATACACCAATACCACCAATATCACCAATATCACCAATACCACTACTACCACCAATACACCAATATTACCAATATCACCAATGGTGGGTGGTGATTGGTGATAAATAAAGATTGGTGCAACTATGTTATATAGTATCACCAACAAGCTTAGCTACAACCTAGTCTATATCCATTTTTCTTGGCTCTCTGTTTCCACTATCTCCATCTAATGAGCCATCTGTAAATATGTCTAATTCCACATAGCCAACTAGTTTTTGCAATGACCTATAAGATATATATAAAATTAATAATAGTAATTTTTTTATTATTATTTATTATTAAAAACAAAAATTTTTTTAAAATATAATATAAATTGTTCTCAAAAAGCTAAATTCTTTGCTAGATACTTTATGAATAATAAATTTATTATAATTTTTTTTAAAAAAATTATTATAGTACACATTAAATTTTGTTTGAGAATATAAAATTATAAATTTATGTTCTTGAAAAACAAAAAATTTTTTTAAAAAATTTTTCACTAGGTCCAACCTCTAAATATATAATATATATATATACCTTAGTTTGAATAAAATAAATTATTAAAGAGGTGTGGTGATTTAGTGTAGTGGTTTAGTTATCACCCTCTCCAAGTGGCAGGTCTAGAGTTCAAATCTCACAGATGACGAATTTTGAAAAATAGCCTGTGCTATGGTTTACGGTTGTCGATTATTGGTTGGATCTAAAAATTTGTAATCTCAGTCACACCAACTAGTTATGAGAGCTTTGGTACAATAAATCTGAGAAACTGGAATAATTGAAAACCCATTTGGCAAGTCCTGAATTTGGAGGTAGCAGTGATCTTTGATAGTATCACAGGAGGGCTAAATTCAAACCGGGGCCTGAGATTGGAGAACCGAGTGACCAGGTCTGCTGGTGGAGGATACACCAGCTGAACTACTGGGTTGTCGCACCAGAGGAAAAGGGCATATGCTCTGAAAGTATGAACCAAGGGGAGAGCGTCCTTTAAGCACCTAAAGCCTAGACAGATCGACCCTTCCAGGTTGCTAGCTGGAAGTAAGGGAGGGACCGATAAAGAATCCAGGTAAGGAGACGGTCTGAATGTGGATATCGGGGTTGTTGTGAACTAAATAAGAGCAAGGAGTACATAATGAGCGCCTAGTTAGGAAGGTTGGTGCTTAAGTTATATCCGTAGAACATTAGCACCCCAAAAGGTGGCGTGAAATACAAATATGAAAAGGCAGGCCAATATATACTAATTAGGAAGAAGTTATAGAAACATGCAGGTGAATACATGGGTGAGACATGTATTGCTCTGTTAGGTTTACCTCGAAAATAGATTAGCCAGAAATAGTTGGTAAGTCCTAAGGCAGTCAGTAATCCTTTGCCAGGGTGATACCAAAATTTATATATAAATGGTGAGGAAACCTGGGGTTAGGTGGTTAACCGGTAGCAATTGTAACCAGATTGTTTAAATGGGTACCCCCTAGTTGGGGTGCAGGTATGGCAGATAGTATAGAACCTTTAGACGGACTACTTAAATTAGGCACTCAAAAGGTGCATGTGTGGCTTGATGTACTATCATTGTAATTGTATATAAAACATTATTTCAAATTCTAATAAAAGCTTTCAGGCCAAAGAGGTCTCCTTAACGTTTAAAAATAAAAAAAAACAATAAATAAATTATTAAAATGTTTATATTGCTTAGCCTGTTTAATAAATATATAAAGTTTTATATTAGTATAATGCTTATAGTTTAACAATTTATAAATTTATTGTTTCACTATCCAAATTAACTCTCTTTGATGATCACTTGTACCAAATTTTCCCACTGAACAAAAAATAAAAATTTGTTGAAGTAGTTAATATGACTATTGGGCAGTTTTTGCAAAGGTCCAACCAGGTTATATTCTCTCCCTAGGAACTTCTTTAACATATTCGGCATGCAAGCCAAAAGTGTTGGTTAACAAGATAACTGGCTAGAGGTAGTATCCTTGTATACAAAATTTTGGTGTTGACAGGCTTGGTGTAAAAAGCAGTCTTCACTAACAAAGCAACCAAGAGACAATAAAAAAAAAGAAAACAACAAATGAGTTTTTTAAAGACATTCTTTGAAGATTTGAAGTACTTGACTCTGAAAACTACTTTACTGTATATATTCCTGCTGAGTTTTTTGGTGGTTCTCTCGAAATTTTTTCCAAAAAGTGAGAATTTTGGCGTACTCTAATAAAAGATCAACATTGTTTACATTACCGAATCAGGAGGTAGTCATGAGGAAGACAGGTGCTCTATATTTGACAACTGTTAAAGGACATGTACGAGTAGTAGGTAAACAAAGATCAACTATTTGGTTTTGTATCAATATAGGTAAATAAGAAAAATTTCATATTTCCCACATAACAAGAACTATTTTAATACCAAAATAAAGTGAAGGTGGGAATTGTTTTGTGAAGTATTAAATAATTTTTAACTGAAATATTTGTTTCCTCAAGCATTGGAATACCTGTTGCTTTCATGGTTCTTTTTGTTTTTATTTTTTTTTTATCTTTTTTTTTATCTTTTGTTTTATTTGGTTTTCGCCTAAGTTTTGTAGATTTTCCACTTTTTGTTTTATTCTTTTTTTAGTTTTAGTTTTTTTTAGTATACTTGTCATTTTTGAGGCAAGGATTATGGAATCCTCTTGCTTAGATATTAAGAAGGAGAAGGTCTTAAGGAAATTAGCAGTCATGATGGGTAGCCAATTCCAGTTAATAATATACTCTATTTACTTCTAGTTGCAGGAGAGATAAATGTATAGACAAAATCGGCTATAGCAGGTTGAACATAGGTGTCCAGTGAATAAAATTCAAAGTCAAAATTTGGTGTGTATTGCACACCAAATTTTAGATTCAATGTACGCAAAGTTCGATACAGTGGAACAAGGCTAACAGTATAGCGCAGCGCATATTATTTTAAATAATTATTAAAAAAGTTACGTGTATATTGCACACAGCATTATATTTTTTTGCACGCAAAAAATTTTTTATATGCAAAGCGCACATGTGCATGTCAAATTTTATTCACTGTAGGTGTCTAGTAGATAACCAGGTTAGTTAAAGCTTGTAATTTAGATGCTAAAGCTAGTGTTTTGGTGAAAAGTCTGTATGCGGTAAAGCCAAGTACAGTAAATCTAATAAAAGTTTTAGCATGACTGCCAAATTTTATAAAAAAAAATAAAATAAAAATATATAAATTTATTGTTTTGGCTTTATAATTTTAATGTAGTAGAAACATGATATAGAAATTAATAGTAGCAAGTCCAAACTCGTCATACTCAATTCAGAACTTCCTTTAACAGAGAGACAAATAGATTATGGTGATACACTTGTTAAAGCAGAGAAAAAATTGCATAATCTCAAATTTTTTAGAACATTTTTACATGTAAGGAAAGAGGTAGTGGAAATTAAAAAGAAATTAAAACAAATAGTAGGCCTCTTTACATGTAAGTTAGAAAGAAAGAAAACTACGGCTAGCCAATTAGTTTATATAAACAATCAAGTTTTAATTCCCAAACTGAAGTATATTCTGCAAACGGTAGCATTAACAGAAAAAGAGTTGAATACAATCCACTAGCCATTTCTGAGACTGATAAAGAAAAAATTAGAAATAGCACAAACTACACCTAATAGCATTTTAATCCATGGTGGTATATTAGAAGTCAAATTGCTCGCTGATACAGTATTAGCAAAACAGGCCACGGCACTAATCAAAAGACTAAACAGCACAGGAATAGTAGAGAAGATAACAAAGCTAAGAATTAGACAAGAAATACTCAAAAAAGACATAACTCAAGATATCTGGAGTTTACCGATATATAACATAACAAGTTTCAGCTATAGAGATAATATTGAATTAAGCATAGTTGAATATTGCAAAAAGATAGATTTAATGTTTATAACAAAAAAAAAAGGTTAGTATATCCTAGGCTCAGGAACATCAATAGCAAGCATGCTTAACCCAGTAGATAAAAAAGTGTATAGAAAATGGCAAACAAACCTAGACCTATATTTCATTAATCAACTACTGGACATAAAAGGTAAAACTTATTAACTTGGCATCAAGTAAAAGCAATGAAAAACTGGCATTGTAGTGGAAAAGTTCCATGCTAGTACAAAGTAATAGAAAACCTAATGCTTGTAAATGATGAAGAACATAGAGTTAAATAGCAGTTTCAAGTTCAAGAGACAAATCTGGAGGCTATAGTACCTGTCCTCCCGGGTATTAGTGCAGATAAAAGACAAAAAGATTGGGTTTTACATCGTGATAAAACAAACTAGCTCAAAATCAGCCACGTTTAGAAAAAGAAAACAGACTCAATAGTAGTTAATCATTGGGTCGAGTCAACTCAGGGGAAAAGAGGAGCTCGCTTAGAACAATATAGTGGCTATAAACTTAGTGAAATAGACAATAAAAACAGGTGTACTTTCAAATTAAATATAAGCCAAGTAGTAGGGAAAATAGACTATGTCACCAAAGACAAAGAGGGATAGTGTCTCAGAATTCCATTGGAGATTTATAGTGTTCTTACTGTAGAAAAAGACATCTCAGAAGACATATTTGGAGGATTAGATGAAATTAAAGACAAAGATCTTGAATATATAAACAACTTTAATCTTTCAAGCAACATTCAAGCAGCATTAACGCATAGTCTGAAAATTAATTTCAGCCAAAAAAGACAGAATTGTATTTTCTACACCAACGGTTTATGGGTCTCAAATAAACTAATTGAAAATGAGGAAGATAGAATAGGCACTGGTTGGGTTCAAGTTATGGAGGATGAAAAAATGGCAGTTTTCAAAGGCAAAGTTAGAATAAGTAACTGGCTATCATCAACAAGACCTGAGTTGGCTGCAATTTTGTATGCTCTGTTAATAGTAAGAGGAAATGCACATATGCAGGTTAAAACAGATAGCTCAGCAGCAATCTTAGCTATAAGACGGGTATTAAAAGAAAAAAATTTTAGCAAAAGGCTGAAAGTGAAAAATAAAACAATACTCAACAAAATAGTAGAAACTATCCAGTTTAAAGAACTTGAGCTTGATTTGATAAAGGTCAGAGTACATAGTGAAGTAAAGTGGAATGAAGAAGCAAATAATATCACAAAAGAAGGTGCTTACTTGGATGAATTATGGAAGTGGCCAAACAACCTGCGATCATACTGGAGTTTCGATATAAGGTGGCAAGAAAGAAATATTAAATATCCACTTCAAAAGTTCATTTTAAGATTAAAAAGAAGGCTTATAGAAAGTGAATGGTATCTATTCAAAAGGTGTGATTTACTATGACAATTAGACCAGAAAAGTAACCCTATATGGTCATATTGCTAGGAAAGATTAAGAGAGCTAAGAGGCCAAAGATGTAAATCACTCCAAGATAGTAATAAGCTCATAAGCTAGTTAAAGAAATTATTTGGTATGCTTCCAATGCTAGACAAACTCCACCAACGCAATTCAGATTTATACACTTCACCAATGTGTATAATGTGTAAGGAAGAGGAAATAGAAAATATGGATCATCTTTTTAGCTGTAAATCTCATCAAGAGGTCTAGAAGCAGGTTGAAAACCAAGCTCTTGCAACAGTGTGGGCCATGCTTGAAGAAGAAACTAGATTTATGTATTCTATAAAAGAAATCAGAAAAGTGGTTTTTGGGAGTACACAAGAAGAAAGGTTAGAAAAAAGAAAAGCTCTCACTTTTGGTCTAGCTTGCCAAGCTGATTTTTCAAGTCTGCAAGTAATAAATAAAAAACACAAGTCAAGTAGACAATGCTATGATGTGCTAGTTTATGTTATACAAAAGTGTTTTTATAAAGTGATATGGAGGGAAAGATATAAGAAACTTGCAGTATGGGAAGAAAGTACAGGTATAAGCAGAGCTATCAAGAGGAGAAAAAGGCCCAGAGTCAATAGTATTGCCCAAGTAGAAGCTAACTCTGTAGCAGAAAATAAAGGACTGTCAAGAAATTCTGATGCAGTGGAAAAACCATCCAAAAAAGCAGCAAAAAAGGCAGGCAAAAGTGTCAAGAGAAGAAGTCGCAACGTTAAATAGAGGAAAAAGACATAGAAGCTCAAAAAACTCCTTAGTAGATAATGAAGTTGCATCAACAAGTCATTCGAGCAAAAGACAGAAAGAGAATAAAGAAGGAGCTGAATTATCAAATATCAGAAAGTCAAAGAATACTTTGGTTATGTTTGGGAAAAAAATATGTGAAGTTTATAATTTAGCAATGAAAACAATAAGATTACAAATCTTGAGTTTATTTCTAGCAAGATGGTGGTCAAAATAAAGTTGGAAATAATATAAAAAATAAGGTAACTGAGTACTATGCTATAGCAGGTTTTGAAATGTGGGTATTACTGCATGTAGGATCTGTTGGCAAACATTAGTGTGATAACCATTCTCGGGCACTTTTATAGCAGCCGGGTTTTGCCTAATATGTATTTAGATAGATTAATTTTTTGTAAAAAATTATAATATTCTAATAAATTAGTGCGAGGTTATCAAAGAAAAATAATAATAATAATAATAATGTAATAGAAACTCAATAAATACTGCCAATAACCAAATGGCCTATCTTTGTTTTTATAAAAACTTCTTAAAGAAAGCAATTGAAAACAATTAGAAAAAAATTTCTGCTAGAAACACTCAAAATGAAGAAATTTTACTTATAATAAGAGCACCTTGAGTTTAATTTATTATGATCAAACAGATAGTAAAATTGCTGGTTTTTAGACTACAACTGTATATCAAATTTTCAATTATACATATAAATAGTCTGTATAACAATTATTTTGAAATTTATCGAATACAAGTTTCTGCTATGCTTTGTTAAAACAATATCATATTTATGTTCTACTTCATCCATCTAAAAATAGAAAAGGTAGCTTGTCCGAATTTGGAAAGTAAACAATGCTGATTTTTTGAAGGGGTAAGCCAAATCTCTACTTTTTTCAAAAAACTTTTGAAAAAAGATAGGAAAGTAAAAAAAAAGTATTTTAGAAACCACTTAGTTAAGAAAAAGAGTGCGGCTTAAAAATGTCTGTTCTTTACTGTTTTCTAGTTGTTACACAACAGCTAGCTTTGTCAACAGAAGGTTTGAACTTCTATCACTTCCACCTATTTACCAAAATTTCATGTATAACCAACACTTTTAACTTGCATATCAAATATATAAAGAAGTCCTTTGAGAAAGGAAAAGGTTGACCTTTATAAAAACTACTCTGTTGTTACCTTACTACATTATAACTCTCTAGTATAGACAATAGGCTTTTCTTTTTGTCAAAAAATTTGGTCTAGGTAATTGTTGAAAAGAGTTGTATAATATATAACTACAGTACAGTATATTGTAAGTAATTAATATAATTAAAGAAATCATCTTAATACTATACTAAAAAAATATATATATTTATTGTTTAAATAAAAATACTAATAAAACTATTAAAACGGTTAAAAAAAAATTTTTTTTTTAACTTTAATAATATTAGCTTTAAATAATTATAATAATAAAATATTATTGTTTTGCTATATACAATCTATATAAACAAATTAACAAATATTTACAGTACTTGTATTAATAATACAAACTTTAAAAAATTTTTACTTTTATATTTAAAATCCGCTAATTACTATTTTCAAAATACTTATATACATTTAAAAAAAATATATATACAATATGCCTAAAAAAAATTAATATGTATACATAGCATTGTGCAATTTAATCTCAATAATTTTTGCTAAGCGACTAACAAAGTAGATCAAAATCAAATACTACTTTGATTATGAATCCTAATCTTTGCTTTTGACGCATACCATTAATTAAAAAAAAAAAAAAAATTTACAAAAAATTTTAAAATATGCAAAACAAATCTATTCCATATAATCCAAAAAAATAATCTATAGATGACATCTGTTGAAATAAGACTGATCCAGTAACTCTATTCTTTTTTTTTCAATATGAATAACGCATCATCTCTTAGATCTTCGTGCAAATTCCAATAAAAAAGGGCCTATATTAACTGCATCCAATTGATCTTCATCCTTGTTTAGCAATTTATTGAAAATCGGTAAAAGAACTTTGTGAATTGACTCAACTTGGTCTCTTAAATCTCTATTAAGATCAGTAACATCTTTATGCTCCGATTTCTTAGCTTCTGATAGAACTTTAGAACTTTGAACTTGTGATCCTGCCACCGTTTGCTTTTCTGTGAGCTGACGATCAGTGATGGCAAGAGATTTCAATTCCATTTCTTGTTCTTTTTGTATTGTGTATGGCATCAAGGTTGATATGAAAACAAGGAAATGATAAAAAAGGACAAATAATTCGAAGTCATAGGAAGAAACTCTCAAATTTGATTATTTTACCTTCATGAAACTGAGTAAATTGTTCTGAAAAAATTGGAAATGGCACATCTAATCTTTGCAATTCATTATCTAGTAATAAATATGAAAAACCAGACAATGATATCAGATAATAATATACAGACAAAGACAAAATAAATAATTTGAAATATGATCTTCATTTACCAAGTGCAAAAACTTGAGATTGGGAATTCGGTATAGAAGGCAGACAGGACTAATAGATGAAAAAAAGTAATCTACTTTACTATAAATTACAATGTTTTGATGAAAAATTACAAGCTACATACATTATTAAGGTCAGACGAAGATTGAGGAATGTCATTTAGTGTGTGAGCGTCGCTATCTATAAAACAAAGGCTGTAAAAGTCAATAACAACTTTGAGTAGATTACACAAAAAAAGAAATTATTACTCTCGGAAATATATTCTTCTGAAGTATCACTATTGTCAACAGCTAAGTCTTTATCACCGAGAACAAACTCCTTGTCTGAGTCTTCTGAATCGTCGGGCAGATCAGCATACAACCAATCTCCGTTCATGTCTTTACTTCTATTACTCATTTCAAAGGTTTTTTTATATATTATTCGTTAAGACAGAAAATTGTTTAGTGTTGGCCAGTATTATAATTCAGGCCAATTAATGTTTACAACAGATACCAGATACGTAAAACTTTCAATGTTTTTATTTATATGTATTTAAAAGCTGATATCACGTGATACATGATAATATGTACTTATAAACGTTAAGTATGATAAATCTATATACTAAGCATCACCCAAATATTCCATAACAGAATTATAGCCTCTTGCTAAGGCGAGATGTTTCAAAATTCCTGTTGCAGGAAGGCCTTTTTTTCTTCGACAAAATGAACAGTTACATACACCTCGACATTTCGGACAATTCCATTCGCCAGAATTTCGCGCTTCTTCCAGTGTTTCACCATATCTTTTACAATAAAAGAGAAATAAATTTTATGCAGAGTAATTTAAAAAGAAAATAACGCAAATATTACCTTCCAACCAAACATCGTTCATCCATCATCACTTTACAAAGCGTTCCGTCTTCTAATACATTCTATAAAGTATCGATCGAGATATAAATACGTGTTACATTTGTTATACTCATAGAATTTTGCAAACTTACTGTGCATTGTACTTTTTCTTCGATAGTTTTTTGTCTACATTGGTGACAAGTTGATCCTAATTCTGAATCATAAATTCTACCTCCATAAAATCTACGTCCTTGATTATTTCTTCCTAATGCTCTATATTTGGCCTTAACACGTGAAATAGATACGCGAGATATGCTTAGTTTTCATAATAAATGATTATTTTATTTTATTTTAAGCATACCTTTGAGCCCTTAGGACGAATGACACGTCGTAATTGAGCTTGGGCATAAGCAGGTTGATAACTTTTGACGCGTAGATTATACCTAGGTTTCTATTAAAGTCATTAAGTTTTATTAATTAGATTTTGTCTAAATTCTCAAATGATGTTTTGATAATTATAGATGACACACCATCTGTTGTATTCTCGGACTCTTACGCGAAGGTGTTCGGGCATGTTCATCCTGTTGAGATTCTTCCGAATCAATTTGACGCCTTGGTGGTCTTTTAGGTTTAGGGGGTGAAAGACTAAAATCAATAAGACCGAGTTTTGCCAATAAGGCCCTGTTTTGTTCTATACGTTCAAGCCTCTCCTTTTCATAGGCTTCTCCCACCTTTTTTATTTTTATTTTTTGGTTTAAAACATTTTAATTTAATAGCAATTGATTGAATTACATATATAAAAAAAACCATACTTACCGCGTATGTTGGTGCAGGTTCTTCGACTTTACGACTAGTCCTTCCCATCTTATTTTATTGAATGAGCAAAGAACACAAACAACAGTTGGAACTAGCAACTAGCAGCGAAACCAATATTTTGTATTTCACGTCACTCCTGTTAAATACGCATCAAAAATGTCAACATACGGGGTGTCGGATTATTGGATGATCCTAACGCTAAAGTGCAAATTAAACTTCATATTATGCAGTTATGTCAGTATATTGATCAACCGTTATTATGATAAGTTATACAAATAAATTGGTTCTACCGAAAACCATTTTCCCGAAGGATCATAATACCGACTAAATTGGTCAATATTATAACTAATGCCGGCTAACTTTGTCGGTATTAGATCCTTTCGGTTTCGGAATTTTGTGGTAAAACCAAATAAATTGCATTTCTAAATCATCGGAAAAATATTAATTACGTCTTTGATATTCCTCATTAGAATAAAAACATGAAATAAAGTAAAAATGTAACTCGAAAAATAAATGCTGCCGATTTTTATTGTGACCTCTCTAAGTGCACCCCACTTAAAACTATAAAAAAAGGTGAAATATGCACTTAAAAAGGTGTGTATTTATAGAGCAAAATATATAGAGCTCTTACAAGTTGGGGCCAAGCCATGCCATGCATTTAGAACGAATTTATACTTAGCATACATTTATAGAATGTGCATTTAGAGAGGACTGACTATACATATCCTTTTGATTAAGAATGATTAAGAATGTAATAAATCGGTTTTACTAAAACACACAAGTGTTCAACACCACAATCGCTATATTTCAAAAATTTAAGTAATTAATGCCGGGTGTTCTAAGTAAAAATATTCAGCACCCCAAAAACTTACCTTATATTTTTTATATGATACGTAACTACAGATAATTTTGGTTATTTATTCAAGAATTTTGCTCTATATTTTATATATAATTTATATATCGATATTAAAATCTTTAAAGCAGCAATTTTAATAAAGCAAAATAAAATATTCTTTGTACAAAAATTACTCTATAATACTGCTAAATATTTTTGCTATAATATATACTTGATCTTAATGCTCGTTATTTCGTGACAATATAATAATCAACTAAATAACTAATAATTAATTGTAGTCGATTTTTTAACTAACGATTTGGATTATTGCTCTCTCTTAATAAAATATGATAATCTTAATAAAACTATAAGGGTTTAAACTTTTTTTTGATAATTATTGGTTTTATTTTTTTTTTTATATAAATAAAAAAAAAAAAAAAAAAATACAATCAATAAAAATTAAATAATTTTAACATGCTTTGCATTGTAAAGGAATTACACAAAATGTTTGATAAAAATCGATTTTATATACTTTTTCAAACGAGTGTAAAAACAATTATTTTTTTTTTTTGATTTTTTTTTTTTTTTTGGTTTAAAAAAAAAAGAAAAGAAAAAAAACTCCAAAATATTTATAGGAAAAAAATTTTGAAATTTAAAAAAAAACTCATAATAAAAGTTATCGGATTAAATTGCTGTTCTTTGACCACAGCACTTTTGGAAAGTTTAATGAAAAAGCGAAAAAAGAGTAGCTAAAATTGTTCACATGAAATTGCAATGACAAGCAAAAGCTTGGAAATTTGTAGAGCGAATGAGGAAAAAATAATGAAAAAGATAAACAAAACCGATAAATAAATGAAAAGTTAAACAAACGTCTATAGTACAAGTCTCATTTTTTTTTTTTTGTCTTTATGTTTTTTGAAGGGAAAAGAAAACAAGAGGAAGGAAAAAAAAAAAAAAAAAAAAGTTACAAGAAAAAAAAAGCCCTGCTTCAACTAAAAAAAAAAATTAAAAATATGAGAATATATTACAAAGGAAAAAGGGCTTCCTCTGTTAGTTCCCCTTCATGTTAACCATGTAACCCAAGAAATATGTATATAATATATATATGTATAAGAAAGTTGTCCAGCTACCCAAGTTAAGGAGAAGTAGAACTTTCAGTCGAAGACGAATTTGCTGTAATATTTAAAGATTGGCCGGTCTTTTTAGAATCCACGGACTCTGATTCGTTGGAATTATTTCTTCTATGAAAATATGAAGGAGATGCGGACTTGGCACGTGGAGGAAAATTTTCCCCTTGAATTTTTCCAGGGCTCAAGCTATCCTTTTGTTCAACCGGTGAATGACTATTAATTTGTGATCTTGAGGTATTATTATTTCCATTTCTTTCAGAACCGAAATTTTGTTGTCCAAAATTACGTCCAAAAGTAGGAGGGCGATGCCGATCATATACATTCTTTCCAGTATTGAAATTATTGTCTCTATATCTTCCACCATCTGTGAAAGTGTAAGACCTTTCCCTTCTACCGTTCGTATGATAATGTGGTGGAGAAGGTGTATCAAATGGATAAGGTGTATTAGGACTAACTGGAGAATTTCCACTGGTGAATGTATAAGAACGTTCTCTATTAAATATTCTATTGCCTTGACGTGGAGGAATCGTTTGAGGAATAGGTACTAAACGAGAATCTTTATTATTATAACTAAAAGTATTAGCACGTTCACGGTTTCTAATTCCATCTCGACCTGAAGGAAATCTTGTATCTTGAGGAGAATATCGAGCATCTTGTGGTGAATATCTATAATTTTGGCTCGTAGTGGTATTATTATCTTTATCATCTCGTGAAGAATGGTTCGTATTAGTTGGAGATTCTTTTGTAACATAACCATAACGGGCATTATTACCGCCTGTAGGAATAGATTTTCTTGTTCCTTGAGTTGTTGCTAATTGTGTATCTTGCATATGAGCAATAGTTCTTTTAATAGTAGATGATGGTGGAGGAACCGTATGACCACTACCAGCAGCATCTCGAAGATTTGGAACACTCCGTTTGAGGAATTTGGAAGCTAAAGAATTTGGACGAATATTAGGAATACTTCGTCTAGGACCTAGGGGAACATTTTCATCTGTTTCATCCTCATATTGTGGAATATCAAATTTTTTATTTGGAGAAGCAACATTTTGAGATTGTATATTATTTGATGGAATAGCAATTGATAAAGGAGAAGGGATTGAAGGTCTTCTACTTTGTATATCTCGCAAATCACGAGTTCCTTTTATAGAATTGGCTCGAGTTCGTTCCAAATCGAAATAATCTTGATTATTTTGATTTCCATCAGCACCATTACGAATAACTTGAGTCCTATGTTTAGACGATTTTTCTGTCATATAAATGTTCTCATCATTAACATGATTTATCCAACCATCAGTATCACCAACCAATCCACCATCAAAGCCTGAAAATTCTTGATCAGCATTGTCAATCCAAAAACCGTACTCATTAATCGGAGTTGAGGGAACAGAATTAATATCTTGGCTATCGAAATTATTATCATTCCAAGATTGACCATTTTTCCAAGCATTTTCATATTTTTGAACCTCTTGTTCCCATTGAGCATTCGAATCTTTAACAATGTTCCAAGTAGTTTTCACGGAAGGTCTTCGACTATATGAAGACTTTCTGATATTTTCAGGACGTTTTCCACGTCGTTCATCTCGACCATTAGGGTGATAACTATTGTCAGTGTAACCAGGGTCACGGTAAGGTAACGAGAAAGAACGTGGGGATACAGTGCCGAATTTTTGATATGTTTGAGTCGCATTTGTATTAGGAGATGTGGTTAAAGAATTTGCACGTTCTGGTGCACCAAAACAAGTCATATCATCCTTGTTTTTAGTGCGCCATGAAAAATTCTTTCTTTTATAAAAAGGTGAAGGTGGAGGTGAAACATAAGGAATTTCATCATCGTAATCATTTCCGCCACGTGGAGATTTTATCGTCAGCGGAGATTGTGACCTGATACTTCGTTGACGTGGAGAAAGAGGACGTTCACAAATTTCATCAAAAAATAAAGGTTCTCTAGTCACTTTTTCGGCTTCCATCCCGCTTCCAACCGTATCGCTATAAAATATATAGAATTTTAGCATATAATAAATTATATAATTAAAATAAATAAATTTACAAAATGCATACGCTAGCAATTTTCGCAAGCGACTGTAATCCGGTTCTTCATCGTATTGTAAACTTCTTGCATATTGAAGATAAAGCATAAACCCTCTTGGAAAGCCTTCATATAGTTCATCCAATGGAATTTCCTCTTTTATCTTTAACATCTTTGCCCACCCTTGACGGGAATTACGTGCGGTAACTCCGGCCCAAGGAAGATCACCTCGTAATAGTTCTAGTAAAACATAACCTAGAGACTCCATATCGTCACGACGAGAATGTTCTATTTTGAATGTATTTAGAACATCAATGAGAATATATATATAATGTAAGATAAAAAGTAAGATAACTATTAATAAATTACTTACGAAGCCCCCTATGAACGCCTAGAGAGGCGTAACGAGCAGTTCCAGTTTTATTCTTCGTCAAATGGTGATTCTTTGGGATATGCTTTCCAGTTTCATGATTTATATAGAACGCGGATAATCCTACACGTATACAGTAATATTTAAACATAAATGTCGATTAAAATTAACAAAAAATAAAAATAAAAATTTAACAACAAAACTATTTAGCATTAAAAAATATATTTACCGAAATCTACAATATTAATGTGGTGTTTTCTGCTGACCAAAAGTTTTAGATCCTTAAGTTTAGTCTCGGATGCATCATCATCAGAGTCAAATGCGGCAAGTCGGCTTATTTGTAACGGGAAGTTCCTTTCTAGAAGAAAGTTATCGGGCTTAACGTCCCTGTACACAACACCTTGTTTATGTATGTATTCTAATATCGTTACCTAAAAGAGTAGGGGAAAAAAAAAAAGTTAAAAGAATAAATCGCATAACAATAAATTTGTAAAAAAAAAAAAATAAAGAAACATTAAAACATACCATTTGCTGAGCCACATCACTCACGAAATGTACAGGAAGTTTTGCATATGCTTTTCGGAGCAATCTCAGGTTGGGCCCAAACAAATCAATAATCATGGCATTATATATGCCTTCTGTTCCAAACCAATATACCTTTGGTATGAAACCTTACATTAAATGCATTTTAGTAAAAAACTTCTCTGAACATAAAAAAAAAATAAAACTTGAATAATATTTAAACATACTCGCTCCTTTGAGTAGCTTGAGTACCTCAGCCTCATGCGGTAGTTGAGGATGAACGATGTCAATTACTTCTCGCTTTATCGCATATCGTTCATTGGTTGTCGTGTGCACGGCTTTAAATAAAAAAGAATATTAATTATTAATAATAGTTAAAGATAAAACGGTTAGAATATGTGTAAAGAAAAAGACATTTAATCAAAGACACATAAAATCAAATTAAAGCGAAAGTTAACAATGGAAATAAAATAAATTCATTAAAAAGGCTGGAATTTGTCCATATAATAAGTTGTACACTTTTCGAGAATGAAAGCGGACAGACAAAAAAAGAGAAAAAAGTAGATACGAAGAAAAGTCGAGTTAAAATAGAATACATACCTCGAAAGACCTCACCGAAAGACCCCTCTCCGATTTTTTCTTCGACCAACCAATGTCCACCCACGACTACGTCGCCTCCCATTATTATGGACTTAATAATGAAAAAATTGCGAGAGTGCGAAAGTATGCAACCCGCAAATAGGCGGAATTGGTCTCAAATTAAAATCTTTGAGAGTTCGACTGGAGAAAGTCAATCGAGCTTCAAAGTTAGTGTGATGATAGAGAAGGGAATGAAATCAAAACTAAGAAAAGGTTGGGTTTTCTTTGCTGATAAAAGAGGTTTTTATTTAGCCAGCGAACTAAAACTGAGGGTGAAGAGGAATGTTTGTGTGTGTAGTGAAAAGAAGCAACAACTCAAGCCCACTAGGGAACTTGTGCTTTCGTTTGAAATCAGCACAGCTTTTAAAAAGGCTTGAGCAAGCACAGCACACAACTGAGTCTACACTCTGTTTATTCTGTCGTCAGTGTTTTTAAAAAGAGGTGGGAAAAAATTGGGCAGAGCGAAAACGATAGAATGTATGCGGACAGGGGGTGACAATGTGACATTTGGTGATACGGTACGACGCAAGTAAAAGAAAAGAAAACAGCGGATATTTTAATAAGATCATAGGATTATAGGGCGTGCGAAAAAAGAACCAAAAAGCAAATCCGGGGGACAATTTTACAATAATAAATAATCCACACCAATCAATAGAATTCGTGATTCTGTCCTAACAGACTTAAACAAATTAAGTATACCTAATGCTCAACGCAGATCTTAAGCAATGAATTTTTTAATAACAAAAGAAATTTTAAATATACGTATAATATAAGTTATATACTGTATATATATAATTATTATAATCACTTTGAAACAAGAGAATGTAAGCTCTTGTCGACGATGATGCCTTTTAATAGAATGTATCACAACCATGTATGGAGTATACGACAAGCCATCGAGAGACCAAAAACTGTAGCACAAGCAAGTCATTTTTTTCCAAATATTTCCTTGAGTACCATGAAATTCAAATTTCAAAAATACAACCATTTAAAAATGGTGAAATCACCTATCAAATTTAAAAATTTTCTGCGTTTGGTGACATTCATTACACTTCATAATAGTGGTTCAAAAAAGGAATTGCTTTGTAGAAGAAAATTACAATTTTCGTGACGTAAATTTGATGACGCGAGTCCTGTGTTGCCTGAATTGGTAACTTTCAAAACCACCTGGTAACACTTTCATTGACTTAAACACCACACACGATGTAAGGTGTAAATTGGATCGTCCTATAATAAAAACGTTTTTCTATAATTGTTTAAGATCTGACTTGATAATTTATATTTTAACGTTAAACTTCATCATATCTAAATAGATTTACCGCGCGCACACAGCTATCTTTCGAATTAATTGTTTTATCACAAAGATTTCATAATCACGACGATTTTTATAGATCAAATCTATCTACCGGTACCATGTAATGTATGCAATGACCCATCCTGTTTCACACTTGTTGGAAAATTTTGCGTATATTGTCTTATTTTTACAACGAAGTTCTCCGAAATCATGATTGGACGCTTATAAATAAACAAGAAATGTCATGTCTTTGCTAACGTTTTTCTCTTTTACCCGCTGCCACCCAATTATTACCTTTTTCATCATTATGTTGTGTCTTGGTTTTAGCCTTTTTTTGATATTTGGAACTTATGGATAGCAACAGAATGGCTTACTCATTTCATGCAAATACAAAATAAATATAACGTTTCCTATATATCACACTTGTAACTTAAATCCCTAATTTGGTAGAAAAAAAAGAAAATTAATTATGTCTGTGGAAAAATAAAATAAACAAACAAATTGCTCATGTTCTTTATGTCGATCTACACAATGTTTATCCGCGCGGTTATGTGGTAAAGAAAGAAACTGGTTGCATTTTTATAGAAATAATAATTTAACTTTTGATCCAATCAAACTTGTAATCATGCATTTATAAATTTCGAATTTTATGCAATAAAATGAATTAACACATACAATACAATAGTTTTATTTTATATTGTTAAGAACTTTATTTTTTTAAAAAAATTTATAAAGTTTTTGGTTTTTTTTTAATTAAATATATACTGTATATTTATTATACAAACACCATAGATGCTATTTCTCAAAAACGTACTAAATTAAGGTAAGTAGTGACTGGCACGCCAAAAAAATTTGGCAGATCACATAGCATGTTTTTGTTTTATTAACATGCTTTTATTATATTATAATACTAGTTGAAAACCCGTGCAATAATGCACGGGAAAAAAATATTTAATTTTAAATAAATTTATTTTTATATATTATTAATAAATTTATAACCTAGTAATAATTATAATAAAATAAAAAATATAAAAAAAAGTAAATATAATAATACTATAATAATAAGATAAATCTAGACAATACATCCATACACTTTGTATCTTTATAGCAAAATTAATAAAAATTAAAGTTGGTAGAGTATTAATGTTAAGATAAAGTTAAAGTTTAAAGTTAAAGTAGAGTAAAATTGTGAGAGAAATATTTTTGCTTAGTTATATAACAAAGTTACTCTAGTAAAATTTTGAGATATTGGTAATTTTTAACAATTTTTATAATAAGAAACACAAAGTGTATAAAGCACTGTCTAGTCCTGTTCATAATAATAATATAATAATAATAATAATAATAATAATACAAAACTAAATATTTTTTATATTTGATTACTATACTAATATATAGTAATTAAATAAATATATATATATATATTTTTTTAATATTAAGGTGACCACTTAGGCCCTTGGCACTTTATTAGTACAAGCGGTAGGCCAATGTTAATTTTAGCACTGGCTTTACATATTACATCAGTATCATGAGAGTACAACTAGTCACACGTACAACTTTTGATTGCCTATTTAAGTAGTCTACCCGAAGCGTTAGTGCTATGCTAGGGTTCTACACTAGCTGTCGTACCTATAGCCTAACTAGGAAGCTATCTATTTAAACTCTCTGGCTTCAACCAACATCACATGATTCCTCCTTAAATAAATATTTATAAATTAAAACAATACAAATTTTGTTATAAATTTTTTGTATATTTTTACTAATTATTTATTTTATATAAAAATAAAATATACTGTATTCTTAACCTATTTTAAATTATTAATTTATTTTAATTAGTTTTATATTTATAAAAAAAAACTTATATTTTAAAATAGATAAAATTTAGTTGATTATATGAGTGTTGCCAAAAGAAAATGTACCTATCTAAAAATAAATTATTATGAAGATTATAATAATCTATTTTTAGATATGTTTTTTTTGACAACACTTATATATGTAATAAAAGGTTCTACTCTAAAATCCCAAAAGACAAATTCCTGAAAAATACATAATACCGGCAAAGTTAGCCAGTATTAGTTATAATGCTAGCCAATTTAGTCAGTATTATGTCCTTTTAAAAAAATAGCTTTCAGAATTTAAGAGTAGAACCATAATAAAATTATTAAAAATTAGTTTTTGGCTTAACTATAAATATAGTTTGTATTATTTTTTAAAAAGTATATTTTGAATATTTTTTAATATAAATATTATATACTTTTTTTAACAAAATGATAATGCTTTGATTTGTATATTATAAAGATATAAAATATTTTTATTTAAAATTTGTACTGATTTAGTATCATACCAGTACAAAAATTATTAATATAAAAACTTGTATATTTTCATTAAATCCCTATATATAAAAATAACTAACAATAGTATTAATAGATAAAATAATATAATATATAATATACAGTAATATAAATAGACAGTTAATTAAAATAGAAAATAAAAAGTAATAAAATATAAATAATATATAAAAGAGATAAAATATAAAACAAAAATATACTGTATAGAAGCATTACTTAGAGAAAATAAATAACAAACCTTTAAATTCATTTATTAAAATTTAGCTTGACAAATCTGATTACTATTAGGTTTTTAAAGACCAAATTTAGTAAATAATAAAGTATAAAATCAATGAACTCTTTCCGACAATTACTAAAACCAAAATTTCCCAAACAATTTTTATAAAAACAATAACTAGTAAGTAATGAAGAGCATAAAACTGGAATCTATAAGTCGGCAGTTGTTATTTAGAGGTAGTTCTCATATGCTACCTGCTAACTTTTTCAGAGTTTATCACTTACTGCTAGTATGGCACTTGTTGTTTAGAAGTAGTTCTTATATGCTACTTGCCGACAAGTTTAGAGTTTATCACTTACCGTTTAAGTACAGTAGCTTTACCTCTTTCCTAGAAAAAAGGTTACTAGTCGTCGGTTCTTTCAAGGATAAAATACTTTCTTTGAGTGCTAGTGATCCTTTCTTTAAGTCTCTCTTGGTCCTGTCAGTCTTCTCCAAATTTTTCGACAAAAAGTGGGCGATTTGGCTTACCCCCTCCAAAAGATCGGCATTGTTTACCTCCCAAATTTGGAAGTACCCAGGAATGCAACCATGTGCCTTGTTTATCGGTGAATATATGATGCGACATAGTCTATAGATACGGGACCTCTACGTGACTGGGATCGGGTCTATAGCGGTGTCCGGAATTGGTCGGTAGTCGGATAATAATTTGTTAGATTTTGTAGTTAAGATATACAAATGTTGCAGTTGTTATAAAATTTTTTCTTAAACCTGACATGGGTTATAATAGTGTATTTTTCTTCGTTCTATTTGTACTACTTCTTGATAGAGGTAGTTTTCTTTGTTGGCTCTCGGGCTTTTCTTTTTGATTTTCTTTTTTTACATTTCATTGTACCCCTTTTATTTTTTCTTTAAAATTCCCCCTTTGTTTTATTTGTTTTTTTTAGTGAGTGTTTCGTTTTGTTTTCTTGGTATTATTGGTGGTTTTGTATTGAATATAAGATCATCACTTTCTTTTGCTCTTGGTAAAGAAAGAGAATATGAAGGGAAAAGCTTTGACATGCTAACAAAGTTTATCTAACTTGTATTCAGGTTGGTATGACAAGTCACATGTGAGCATGTTGATTGCAGCTGGGTGATGTCAGACTCACAATTGCTAGACGCCTTTTATGGTTATAAATAATAAT